GGTGACCGAATTTCCTGCGTACATCTTCTTACGGCACATTGGTAAGTCCATTGATATTAGGAGCATATTTCAGCGTTCAGTAATATTAATTATTATTGCGCGTTTTAATTACAACTAGAACAAAGGGCTTCAGCAAAACATCTCTATTTTGTCTCGTTCTCTGTGGTCCTCGTCAGCTGGCTGCAAAATTGCCTGTATTCAGTCATTTCATATTCATATGATCTACTCCATATCACCGTTAGACTTTCAAAGTGTGGCTTTCCATCCAACCAATCAAGCCTCTGCCTGGTTCATGGTAACACCTAATAGTCTTCTCATAATGTTTCTAACCTGTCTATCTGCGTTTTCTTCGGCATATTTGTTGAGCAGTAGGCTGTTAGTTCGTTCGTTCCCCAGGTTTTTTTGTTACTAATTCTTTCTGATCGACTGTATGATCTTCAGTACAGAGCGAAAGAAGGCAGCTGTTGATAAAAGTCTGCAGCGAGCTGTTTGAAATGTTCTTTGTGACACGCCACGTTCCTGACCCACACAGTAGAAATGATTGACTTAACGTTGGTGTGGAAAATCAGAATTTATTTCTTTATGCTGACTAAGTGTAACATATTTACAAACTGATATCAGAGTAATGACTGGTTTCGACATCTTCATCCGTGCTACAGATTCCATCCAACGTATTGCTGCCTTCTTGCTTCCGACACTCAATCTTCCACATATTCCAGTTCACCACAATAATTATCAATATCAGAGGTGATAGCAGGCAACCCTGTCCTGCTTCGGTCTTGATTTCAGAGGCTTCTCTGAGTTTTCTGTTGTGAATCAGATAATATGTAGCACTATCATGCATCGTGCGTCGGTGGCACAGTGGTTAGGACTCTCGTCGACCATGCACATGGTCCGGGGTTCGAGCCCACGCCGACGCACACCTGATATATATGGTCGGCCTGAGAAATTTGGGCTACCGATATCCATGCTGAAAATTCCATACTTGTACCAAAAATACGGTGTGGAATCAAGCTGTAATCAAAAAAATTAAATAAATAAATAAAATAAAAATAAATCTGTTGAATGAGATTGATAACGACTTCTGATAATCTGCAGCGTTGAAGTTGTTTTCAAATCACTTCATGGTTACCTCTGTCGAAGGCCTATTAAAAGTCAGTGAATTTGACGTAGACATTAAACTGCCATCCTGTATTCTGTTCGCTCTTGATGCGTAAGCATACAATTTGGTCAGCATATGATTTGCTCTGCCTAAATCTGTCCTGTCCCGACTGACAGAGTCCTGCATCCAGTATATCTTTTAATCTCTTCAGGATGGCACGACTCAATATTTTCCTCGACATGAACAAAAGCGTGATTCTGCGCCACTTCTTGCATAATCTTGCATAAATCACCCTTCTTTCGTCAACCGAGTTTCTAACCCAGGGCCTTCTGGTTTCAAGGAATTGCCAGAAGTTGAAATTACAATCAGGAATTAAAATGCCATAATAAACAGGGGACGGATAAAACTCAAACAAAGTAGCATCATAATTAATAAGAAGATTGACACTTTGCAAATGGGGGTTAGAAATGTAGAAATAACAACAATAGAGAGAATGCTTGGATAAAAAACCAATGTGATGAATAATTGTTTATGCAATCAGAGATTAAATATGTAGAAATAATAAAATGACAAAATAGACAGGAAGTCCGGATATGAAAATATGGTAGTGTTAACATGGATTAAGAAAAAAAAATTAAAAATAACATGAATAAACAAGAAGTTTTGGCAAGAAACGCAATGGGATAGTCACTATTAGAAGAATTGCCTATTTATGCTGGCCATGGCAAGGTCAAGAGTTGGACGTATTTCTTTTGGATACGTTGTGTGGGTGTCAGCTTTTGGATGACCAGTGCCCCGGCTATGCCCAGATGTCTTGATTTTACACCCTTTGATAGGGTTGGTCGAGTCTTGTATATTATTTTGAAGGATTTTTTGAATGGCACTGAGTATCCTTAATTGACCAGATGTTCTGTCAATGAACTATATACACGTATTCTATCTCCTTTTACTAGCTAGGCTGGATAGTGTTCACGAGTGTGTTTCTCAAGTTGGTGCATGGTACAGCCGATGTACTCACCTCTGCACTTCCTGTCTATTTTGTCATTTTATTATTTCTACATATTTAATCCCTAATTGCATAAACAATTATTCCACACATAATTTATGATCCCACTAGATTTTTTATCCAACCATGCTGTCTATTGTTGTTATTTCTACATTTCTAACCCCTACTTTGTCTGAGTTTTATCCATCCCCCCCTGTTAATCATGGCATTTTAATTCCTAATTGTAATTTTATTAATTTGACCCTTGACGGGAAATTATTCTGGAACTTTTCCACCCTTTTACTATAAATAAACAAGTGTACAGATGACACATTCACTGTACCTAGAACACAAGATATAGATAGATTTATTGAACACATCAACTCGAAGGTAGAGACAATTCAATTCACTTATGAATTGGAAAGTCAGGAAGCGGGGAGCTTCCAATGTTAGATTGCAACGTAAAGAGGAAAGAAGATGGGAAGTTAAACACACTAGTGTGTGTTTACAGGAAACCCACACATTCAAACAGATATTTGGACTTCCTATCATCCCATTCTATGTCAGTAAAAATAAGATTAGTGAAATGTTTTAGTGACAGAGCATAAAAATTAAGTAGTACCAAAGAAAATCTAAGACAGAAAGTGAGGCATATAAGAGAAGCTTTGAAACTTAATAACTACCCGGATAAATTAGTCAGAATGTATATATAGGGAAATGCAAAAAAGATAAATAATGTTAGTAGTGATTTTGTTAATAATAATAATAAGGATAACAATAATAATGATAATAATAATGGTGATAAGAATAATATCAATGATGACACCAACAATAAGGAATCTAAATCATGAGTAGTAATTCCATACAAGGAAGGAACCTCAAAAACCTTTAGCATGATACTTAACAAGGTAGGAGTAAAAGTGGCATTCAAACTGTGCCCACAAAGTGAATTAGAAACAAGCTTTGTCGGTTAAAGGATCCTGTGGAGTCAATTAAATAAAATAATTTAGATACTTCTATACCATGAAATGAATGTCAGGTCAAATACATAAGTCAAACTGGTAAAACAGGGGCAGTCAAACTAGCCGAACATAAAAACCTAGCAGCAGAATCTGGATTAGTTGACCCTAATAAGATAAGATGTCTAGAGAATGGTTCAGCTATAGCACCCACTACATGAAATTACACACAAACAACCATTAAATATGATGAGATAGGATGACAGTTTTAAAATCTTATGTCACAGGATGGAGGGAACAGGATTGATAACAGAAGCTTTGTTTATCCGAATCAACTGCAAATACATGTAATAGGAATGATTCAACACCTGTCCAGCCAGATATCTGGAAAATTCTACCATCCTAACGACGACAAATAGGAAAGAACAAAGAAAACTATAAAAATGAAGTTTCAAAGTCGTGTGATTATAATTGATATGATTATGAAGAATAAATTTTGTTCGAAACTGTGTCATCCAGTGAATAATACTGTTTCTTCACTGTGTGATACATCTAATAAACAAACTGATATGGAATTACTTATTACCACAGTGACTAAGTCTTACACATATATTAATAAGTATGCAGTCTAGTTGATGACTTCGTCGAAAAGAAAATTTTCATCCTTGCAACCGTCTTTTTATTATTCCTTATGATGAAATGTGTATATTTCTTGATTAGAAGTTGAAATTCTTTGACCACTGGATCAGGTTTCACAGGCTGAGTAGTCTACGAATTTGCCTCATAATCAAAGGACTCAGGGCTCAAACACTGTTGGCGGGTGAGTACTACTAAGGAGTTCCAAGTCAGAACGAAACACTTGTCCATCAGTACTCCCAAGTTTCCTATTGGTGTTCTCTAACTGATATTAGTTTCCTAAGTTACCTTATTACGGGAGGGATTTTAAAGAAGTTACTTCACTCACTCACTTATCTAGCATTGAGCATTGTCTCAACTACAGGAGGAACGGACGAGGATGTCAAATCGAGCGAGAATCGGGAAGGCAAGAAACACATTCATCAACCTGAAACCAATCTCGAAATCTTCGTCACTCAGCCAGCATCAACAACAAAATCCAGTCGGATTTTCAATACAAACACGTCAAGTCAGCCAGCTCTTCTCTACGGATCAGAAACTCGGCGGGCGGGTTACAAAGAATATTTCCAACAGCCTGTTGCAGACCTTTATCAACAATAACTGTCTTCGCTCTATACTGAAAATTAGATAACCCGGCCGGAAAGAATCACCAACAAGAAACTATGGACACTAACAAACAAAACAAGAACCAATCACTGCCCAACAAATATGCAGGAGAAAGTGGAGATGGATTGGACACTAGCTGAGGAGGCCGCTGGGTGACATGGCGCGTCAGGCCATTGCTCGAGTGGAACCTGAAAGGGAAGCGGCAAGTGGGTAGTCAATGCAAGGGTGACTTGGATGAGATCGTTTATTTCATTCACATGTGTCTGTAAATAGAAAGCTTTAATAAACAATAAGAGGTCAACAAAATGTGTCGGTATATTAACTCTCATATTGCATTTATTATTATTATTCGTTGCTATCCTCATACATACATACATACACACATACATACATACATACATACATACATACAGAAGCTGTATTCATCACAGTTTTGTTATATTTTACTCTAACAGGTTACATTTGTTTAACGCTTTCATGCCTCTATTAGAAAGCTATTCACTAACAGACTCGTTTACTGGCTAACTACGTGCGCACGCCAACTACACCAACACACATGCATACAATCAAACATTCGTTGATTTTCACGTACACACAGACGCACATCCGCATACATCGATGTCATAGATAGATAGATAGATAGACAGATAGATAGACAAACACAAAACATAAAGAACCAAAAAACAAAAAGAAAAATTAAGAACTTGTTGAACTTCGATCTACATATATAAAAATAACATTTCACACCGGAAGAGAATTTTTATGTTTTCATGGTGAGGTGGAATTTGATTGGTTCAGTTGTAGATATATACATATTCTATTTTGTTTATTATGAAAAGGTTAAATAAACACCACACTATACTATTTTACAAGAGAACAGGTTGTACACATTCTATCGATGCGTTGTTTATTTAATCATATCCGCATTGCATTCAACGTCAAGGAGGCGGTGGAAAAGGAGTAAGCATATAACCATTCCTCCTCGTTTCTCTATGGAGACATATATACATAGTCATCACTTCAAATGATTACTCTAACGAATGCGGAATATAAAGAATACTCGGTTTTTATTATTATTACTATTATTATGAATTGTTGAAAATATATACATTTGATCGGATTTATGATACATAATTATATATGATTTCATTTTGGGTAAGTATAACTGGCATGATTATTTATTTATGATTATTATGGGCAATCTCACGCAAGCCTGGATAGTTCAGTGTTAACGTCTCTGACTGACTGCAGCACTGGGTGACGCGGGTTCGAATCTCAGGAGGCAGGACATGAGTTCCTTCAAGCTGGTCCCAGATACGCCTTGCTGACTGTTGAGTGCTAACTAACACGAAACTTAGGTCAGGTAGGGAGGGATTCCTGTGGCCGATTGCCTCCAACCATCTAATGACATAATAATTTGTTTATTTGAAGTTTTCTATTTCTCCACTGACTGTTTGTTGAGTATTGAGCAATAATCCTCGGTGTTTGTTGACTTGGGAATATGATATCTGAAGACTAACTGGTGGATGGCGAAATCCGCGGTATGTAATTTGTCCCCTTGCAATAATAATAATAGTAACAGCTTTATTCCAAACAATTTTTATGTATATTACCGAAGGTCATGATATCATTTCCAGTTGACTTGATGGTTATTCTTCTCACCAAGAGTGCTTCTTCCGCCTAACCCTCTTGGCTTTTTTCTCTTTGCTCATTATTACAATTATCATTATTATTATCCATAATTTATGCCCTTTATGCAAACATTCTCTCAATACTGTCGAATTTTCCATTTATACCAACCGGACTTATTATTAGTGAAATTATCTCTTTTCTCAATATATGCCTCCACCTGTTTCATTTCACACATTCATTATTTCATTATGAACCACCTCTCATTGCAGTCTTACTATCTCCTGTTCAGTACATACCACTTTTTACTAGCCACTCACCTGACACCTTTTATAACCTTGAACTGACTTGTCAATTTTCCTACACCACACTCTACAGATATAACGCTATCACAAAGATGTCCACTGGACACCAATGAAATAATTAAGAGCTTGAAATTCTGTCTAGAAAGTAATTATTTTACATTTAAAGGAAGTTTATATACACAAACAAATAGTGTTGCTATGGGTTCACCAGTCTCCCCAATAGTCGCTGACCTTTTCATGAATAGATTCGAAAATAACATCTTTTCAAGTATACTCACTCCTAAAATATGGTTAAGATATGCAGATGATACGTTTGTAGTGCTAAAACGAGATCTACACAGTCCATTCTTAGAGAAACTGAAAAATCTATCTCCCAGAATCCAGTTTACTTCAGAAGTAGAATCAGATATCGGTGAGCTATCATTTCTAGACTTCAGATGACCACATCCTAACAGCACAAAGGTATCAGTTGTTTCCAGTCTTGTTAGACGAGCACACTCTTTGATGTTAACGGATGAGAAAGAAAAATAAGAAGAAATATCAAACATTACTGAAAATCTCAAGCAAAATAACTACCCAAAGAACTTCATCAACCAAATTAACACTGACATTAAGTATGGTCGAAAACGTATTCCGAAAACAAGGACATCAACAGTTGTCATTCAATATAGACCACAGACGTCAGACGATATCAGAACAGTACTCAGTAGGCTCGACATAAGAATTTTCTTCAAAACACCAGACACACTCTACAAAACAACCTTGTCCGTATAAAAGACGAAATCCCAAAAGATTCTCTATCTCATAGTGTCTATAAAATAAAATGCTGGCTTGGTATGTGATGCGATATACTTCGAACAAACACCGAGAGACAGAAATCAAAATCAGAGGAAATGAACACCGTAGAGCGCCTATTAGACCACTGAGAAATACAGTTGAACTAGAAAAGCTTGCAAATCATCAGCTATAGGGGATCTACACGCTGTAGAATCAGGCCACAAAATTGATTTTAACAATACTGAAATAATCCAGAAAAAGCATTTCAGAAATCACAATGTACAATGTACTTTTCTAGTATCTCCTTCATCGATAAACAATGTCACAACATCATCATTCACTTTCATTTTCACTTATCTAAGACAGAACATTTATACGACTTGTTTTTGATACAATATTCTTTTCATTATCGCTTTTGTTTCCGAGTGGTACATACGGCTTCAAGAGGGAATCTCCGTTTCATCTTCTCCTCTGTAGTCGCCCCTGCAATTTGTGAGATGCTGCTACAGGACTGGACTACGTCAACTCCTAGCTCAGTGATAGGGAGTGAAGTGATAGAACGTGTTGATCACTTCACCTATTTGGGAAGTTGTATCAGCAACAACGGACTGATTGGCGACGAAAACTCAGCACGGATTCAAAAAGCTTGAGCTGCTTTCGCTGACTTACACCATCTCTGGCGTAGGCGTGATATCCAGCTATCAACCAAGGGATATGTGTACTGCTCAGCAGTTCGCTCCGTCCTTCTTTATGGCTCTGAAACATGGCCAATACGTTGTAGACATGAAAAGGTTGACTGCTTTCGATCACAGATGTCTGCGATCCCTGTCTCACGTTAGGTGGTTTAATAAGGTAAGTAATGTTGACGTTAGGCGTAGAGTGTTGGGCAAAGAGGGAAAATCAATCGACGAGGCTATAAAGTTACATAGACTAAGATGGCTAGGTCACGTGGTGAGCATGCCTAACCATCGCCTCCCCCGACGGACATTACTAGCTGATATAGGTGCAGGTTGGAAAAGAGCCAGTGGTGGCCAAACAAAAACATGACATCAATCCATGAAATCCTTGACAGTAATTAAACTGAGTCGGTCAGGTAGGGAGATGCAGACTTCCTGACTGGTTGGGGCCCTTGGGACTCTAGGAATCAATGGCTGGAGACAATAGGTGACATGGCTCAAAATCGTTGTCAATGGCGCAGATGTATTCAGTCTCTGTAATCTTTCATGTTCCTTTCTACCATTACCCATACTGTTTCACTCTTATACTTGTCAAACTCTATTGATTCTCTTCACTTATCTTCTTGTCTACCTTTGTTTGTGGTATTTGGAACGTGGCAACTCGAACTGGTGCACTTCGGTGCCAAGTTCTATGTTGAATCCAGACAGACAGACTGTAGTCTACTTCAGTTGCCTTTACAACTGCCCATAACCTTTGATATCCTCCCCTACATGTTCGACTTCATGTTATACTTGGACGTTTAACTCGTCATTTCTGATTCTGGTTTCACTGGACGGCCAGACGTGAGCTGTTATCCAGTGGTGTTCTTGGCGTATCAGGTTCATTTCTGCGGGTATTAATTTTTTTGACTGGTTCGTTGTCAGGGTGAACTGTTATTTATTTATTCTGGTCACATATCTGCTCTTAATTATGGAGTGAAAGCAGCTGGACACGCTTTTCGTGACATACCCGCCAAGTCTCTGAACCAGGTTGAAGCATTGGCTTGACATTTATGCTAAAAATCCGAATTTTTTTCTTTTGGCTTAGTATAGCAGAATTCTAGACATTACGTAAAAAGCAACTAGTGATACTAAAAAATTGTCACTTAAAGAAAATCTGTGATCCGAATGTTTAAAATCGATGCAAAACCCGATAACGTTTCTACAACACTTTGCTTCTAGATACAATTGATACCAAAGCTAACGAACATTTCTGAATATTTTTCCATTATTAATATTAGAAGAAGACATATAAGCGAAAAGTATTGTTGTTTTCAATTAGATCATCTTCAGGCTTGATAAAGAGCTTAATAAAGAGCCACCCTTCATTTGTCATTTTCCAGCCAACCAATTATGACTGCTCAAGCGAGAGACAAGCTGCCTAGCTGTGTCGCTTTATGCACATGCACAAATTTAGCTGTATCTGAGGGCGAACAACTAGACAGCTTAACAAACGCATTAATGAGCATCTTTATTCATGGTTCGGAAAAGACCAATTAAAATCTATAAGAAGTTCTATTTTGGCTCATTTGATTGAATGTGACGACCAAGTGGACAAAAATAGTGCCTTCAAAGTTATCTATTGCATTCCATCGAGTCTTTCGAACGGAATTCGAATCTGTTTTTTACACACAGCCGAGGCTATGGGAATTCGAGAGAACAGTCCTAGTCTTTGCATACAACAAAAGAAGTTTGTTCTACCTTTGTCTCTCCCTTGGCCTAGGTGAATTCTAATCAAAACCCTCCCACTCCTTCTTATTTTCCATTTCCTTCGCACTTTTATGTTATTTATTTGAACTCCGATTATCTGTCTACTTCACCTTTAGTATTACGTAACTTTTAAGACTTGACTCAATTTATTTTCAAGTATTGGTTTTGTAGGGATTTTTGTTTGATTGCATGAAGTATTTCATTATGAGCTGACATCAGCTAGAAAACCATTGAAAAACCTGCAGGGAGTACTGGACAGCTGTTTCGTCCTAGTTTGGGACTCTTCATCAGTACGCACCCACCGGGATTCCAACTCAGGACCTTCTGGTTACAAGGCAAGCGACCTCGTAGACCACTGAGCCACTGGAACCCGATCCAATGGTCCTTGAATTCTAACTTCTGCCAATTCACGACATAGCCCGACCATTTCGCAATGTCTTCTTCGATGAGTCACTGCCTCATCTTCAACCTGCTGAATCCTACTGATCACGGCTTCCCATTAGAACTTTTTACTGAATTATTATTGAATTGCGTCGGTGGCACAGTGGTTAGGACTCTCGCCGACCATGCACATGGTCCGGGGTTCGAGCCCACGCCGACGCACACCTGATGTCTATGGTCGGCCTGCAAAATTTGGGCTACCGATATCCATGCTGAAAATTCCATACTTGTGCCAAAAATACAGTGTGGAATCAAGCTGTAAATCAAAAAAAAAAAAAATATAAACATATTACTGCCCACTTTCGTTATTCTTATCGCCAACTGCATAAACCTTTTTATCATTATTTTTGTTATCGTTATAATCGTCGTTATTACTGACGTTCAAAACAGTTAACACATTATTGTCATTATTATTATAACTTGATCTACAAAATGCCCATCATTGATTAATCTTTTTATATAAATATGAACCTGTGTAAATTAGAATAAAGCCTGAAGAAGATCTAATTGAAAACAACAATACTTTTCGCTTGTATGTCTTCTTCTAACTAACATTTACCTTTTGTAATATACTGTC